TCTCAGACTCATTAAAGACTTCATTAAGAACTAATGAACCATTAAGATGGCATCTGATATGACATCACTAGAAATTTGGTCAAAATTTGATTCATTCGAAACATTTGTCTCACAATGATTTTGAATTTCACTCGACGTGACTGGATGACTAGAATGGGAGGAATTCGATAAATGAACATTTGAACACTGCCCAGAGTCAACCTTGCTGAAGAATTTGTTGGCCTTTTCTTCAATCACAAAACTGTTCCTTATTGCATCAGGAGATGTGTCAGTTACCTCGTTAAATATATCGATAATTTTTGAGTGCGAGTCCGGATTTGATTATTTGAGCATGTGTTCCCTCAATGCACTGATGAGCACTGAGTGAGATCTAATGAACACATCTTCACTAAACTGAAGTATTTATCTTACTTCTGCGACTGAGATTGACAGATTCTTACACCAGTAACCGCTTTTTTACCCAATTTCACCTTTCCTCTTCAATTTTGTCGTCTATGACATACTGAAAACAAGTCTGATGGATATAGGTAATAGTGGTGTGAGTCTGTTGCCTGGAGAAAGAATTCTTGACCTTGAATATGAGGGTAATATCGTCGTACCGTGCGATGATGCCCAATCAGTGACCATGCGTATGACATGTGTTTTGCACCCTCAAAGTGCAAAGTACTTTTACGAGACTAGTAGGAACCTGACCCCGCACTCACTTTGGGTAGTGAGTAGATGGAAGTAGTTGAGAAGTTTGTGTATCTGGTTAGCTTTGTGAGTGATGAGATCAATTCACGTACAGTGAAAGCCAGAGCGCCTTATGCCAATCTGGGTCATCTATGGCACCTTCGTAGTGTTAGTCTAGCTGTAAAAGGTCGGATCTACAACGCGCCGATGAAAGAAGCTTTGCTCTATGCTTGTGAAACTTGGCCTCTCCGAGTTGAGGATATTAGGCGACTCTCCATGTTTGATCATCGTTGTCTGATATCCAGTGGCAACGCCATGTTAGTAGTACAGAGTTTCGGTATCGTGTGCTCGGACATACTGACGATCGTTCAACTAATGTCACCATCTGCAAACACCGGCTTCAGTAGCTTGCACATAAACTACGAATGTCGTCCCAGAGAATTCCACATCGTGCATTATTTTCCGACACTGGGACTGGTTGGAAGAGTTTGTGAGATGGTCAGTGTATGACGTGATTTGGTGGTATGAAAGAAAGCTGTATAGAACTGGCTTCTGTTGGACCTTTGCAACTCCCTGGTTAGAGTCCTAGAGATGGTACAACCTAGTGGCTAAGGACGTTATGGCTCAGAATAGAAGCCAGTAACTTTATTCATAAAAGTGAACGTAACTTCTTTAACTAAAAGAATTCCTTCTGGTCGCAGTTTTCCTAATTGAGCTGCTTCTTCCATTATTATTATCTCACTCTAATGCACTAATTTCTGTTCATTGTTATTCTTTTTTATTATACGCGCTTTACATTATCTATCTGTTCACGACCTCATTGTTATTGTGTGGCGCATGTGTATTTGGTCCCTTGTTGTACCAATGTTTATGTGTTCAATTAAATAAATAAGATGCATTCTTAGTGTGCCTTTTTATTTCACTGTATTGGTATGGATAGTCGATTGAAATCCTGGGAATAACTAACAAACATTTCTGTACAGTTTAAATGTGAAACAGGAGATAGCTATTTGTATATCTTATTTTGAGAATCGCCCAATGTACATAGTAGACTGGGGGATTCCAGGCAGATCTTATTTCACTCCGAGGCAAACATATTACATGCTGTTTCAAAGCCGCGCGGTGGGCGGTTTTTTACGGGATGCAATTTATTCACTAAGCCAAGGTTACCGTCTACATTTCACCGTTCGCATCAGCTGATATGGTGAACCAATCAGAAGTAGCCGAATGAGAAGGTCAGTAGATAGCAATCAGATGTAACCTAAAGGACGTGTGAATTCCACCATTGGGAAAAACCTTAGAAATCATTTGTTATAACCGAATTAATTGTCGATTTTAAATTCATCTTTCTGCTTAATCACTATCAACTAACTTCTATCAGAAACTATCTACTAGAATATTTTACTTTCCTGACCACTGCCTGCCTAATTTCCAATTGCTGAGTTCCATGGCGAATCAGAGGATACGAATGCTACAAATTTACGGTGAGTCTGAATTATAAATTTTTTGCAATATTAGGTCTTGTTTAGACTGTTTCGCCGGGCAATGCTACGTGTTTGGCTCAAATTAAATTTGGACGTATACCAATTCAATCTACAACGCTTCGTTAATCTACGAATTTAATCAACAAATTCCAATTACCTGGGAGCAAGAGTAACCCAGGCGAGTTTCATAACTGTGTTAAATAATTTCGTATAATGTTTATGATGTCTAATAACATTTCGAGGCTATTTTCACTTAGAGTAGTCATACGTTCTGTCACTGCCGTCAAATTTTAGTCGAACCCATGTACATTTATGACTCCTAAGTCGTCACGCTGTAGAAAAACGTATTATGTGTACACGAGCAATCTTAGTCCATGTCCTTACTAGACAATTCATCGTATTTAATATGTCACTTAACGCATAATGAAAACTCTTTTACGAAACGATCATGTTATCTAAACCTAAACTTTAGTTACATTGGTGGTTACCATTTAAATTAATGTTTACTATGCGCTCTGTATTTGCTGTTATCTCACACGGTAAATCATGGCTCGATTTCCTTATCGTACGAAAGTCACTTGAATTCCGTCTTCGGTTTATTCACATGCAATACGGGTTTGGAAAATATCTAAACGACCTCTGAAACTCTCCACGAACCCCACGATACTGTTTGCTACTTCACATCCAATTGCTACATAAACAATGCCCAAACGAACGTTCAGTACGATTGTCAGTATACGAAATGATGTTACTTCGATGTGACATTACAACACATCCGAACTATTGTAGTTATTCAAATTCGACGTCGTATTTTATCATCTTATGAAGTATTGTTTCCGCGTGGCTGTTATCTAATAGATGATTTCGGTACATCAATCGGCTGTTCAACTACTCGACGATCTAAAGCCTGTCCAGTTCAATTGGTGGTTTGACGACACTCATTCACGCGAATCATCAGTTTACGCAGTCGAGCGAATCTCCTGCAAACTGACAACGATATTATCGTTCCTACCCCAACACTGACAGTATTTTTCACCGATATCATTGACATGAGTCCAGAGTGACACTCTTGGTTTCTTATGTTCTTTTCGACATTTTTCGGTTCACTCATCAAACACATGTGCAGCACTCACCGTTTATCATCTTTTAGAGATTTCATCGTGCCACCTTTCGCTCTCGCTCTGTATTCTTCGACCCATATTGATTTTCACAGCAGTTATCAGTTTTTCCAAACTGACTGCAAGTTGATCAGAAGCTTCGCACAAGGAAACCAAGACTTATCTTCACGGTCATACTTCTGTACTTACAGTTAGTCTGTTAAATATAGATATAACCAGAAATCGACGCTTACGAACAGTTGTCAACGACACTTACTGACTTTCTACTCTGTGCCGAGGGCAATACAAACACCGGCATCGATTGATAATACACTTATCGTGCTATCACTGTGACATCACTACTCTTGCGGCAAACTTAACGTTTCTCATGTGAGGAACTCAACCACTTGTCAGAGCTATCTTTTTCAACGCGACTTGATAAAACTCTAAAATGTCATGTTTCTTTTTCTATTATTTCTATGGTTGATCGCTTAACATTCAACCAACGTCCTTGTTGTGTTATTCGTAGTTTCCCGATCAGTTTCTGCAGCCTCCTTTCCATTTCTTTTACAGTTCGGCAATACCCGGAGGATTCATATTAATCGTCTGGCAACTTCCGTCGCGCGACTACTTCCAACATGTTTGGTATCGATTCAAACGGCCGTTGAATCTGGAGGGGGAGTATTGTAGGGTCGGTGAAGTGTCACTGAATATCGAACAGATCATCGATCACTGTCAAGGTCAAGGATAGTCAACGCGCACCAACAAAATATACGCCATGGACTGGCCCACGCGGCAGTGGTCGTACTTTCGCTTCTGTACTTTCGTGGTTGTACCTTAACTAATATATTCTTGTAATAACGTCCTTTGTGTTGTACAGTCTCCATAGCGTCCATACTCCCTTGTTACGTCGATGGGGGCAATCCACGTAAGGTGCTGGTCGTGAGGTGTGACTTCAGCGTTAGTTGGTTCGTCACCATTCTCGTCTAACTCTAGTAGCCCCTCCAATCATTTCGACATAGAACATCAACGTTGATGTTCTACACCATGTACAAAACTAGATTGTAGTGGTGATAGTATTATTTCACAACCTCTTGACGATCAGGTGGGAATTCGAAACATTTCATAAGGGTGCTGTCATCCCACCGATTCGGCTGATAGGTCATTCGATTTATTGCGTAACTCAAATTTTACTTTCGCTTTCACGTAAAACACCAACTTGAAATATTTGATGATTATAATTATTTGAAACACAGTGCGTTGCAATCAATTTATGGGATCTGATGAGTGTCATAACTTATCTAACCATTTCTTTACACTTTAGGAGAAATATAAAATATTCTTTAGGAGGTCTTCAGTTGTTATAATGTGTTTCATGCCATCCTACATGCGGCCTATCATTTGTTTAATTTTGTTCAACACTGATTGATACTATCCCGGTACGATGTCACCAGCTGTTTAGTTCCTAACCTTCCAAAGTACTTTCTGGTTTTGGTTCCACAACTCTATTCCGGTCATTAAATATCATAATTATGATCAGCAAATAAAGGATTGGAGCTAATAATTTCAGGCAATAACTTCGTAGTCCTTTTGTTGTGCTATGTACATGTCTACGATAGCTTCCGAAATTGATAAGGACCTAACGTAGTCGTCTCACAAATGTAGTCTTACGAAACATATCAGAATATTCTCTATTGGAAAACTAATATTTGAACGAAGAATATTCTTTTCGATAAATTCTCTTCAGGTTCTACAACTATATATCCAAATTAATAATCTCTATTGAATAAATCTACTTTTTAGCAAAACGTGCACCGCGACAGACAATAATCTTGGTTACATTTCATCCATGGCAACATTGATTAAATCCTTCAGTTGCTTGTTTATTGATACCAGGATGTTATTCAGTTCTTCCATTGAATCTTGTTCCATTCCAGTGATATAGTGAAATGATTTCGACCCAAGGTAGTTTGTACCTAGAGTTTTTAGAATGACACTTGTAGATTACCTGTTGTCTGAAAATACCTGGTCAAAACATATTTCAAATTCTGGAAATGAATACTTAAGACAGACATTCCACTTAAGACATGTTACCGACAATATTTCTTCACATTTTGTTTCGGCGTTTCGACAATAACTTGTATCCGTTGTTCTACGTAATGAGGTTCTTATACTTTTAGTGTTGTGAAGTTTACGGTTACCTTATATATAATGTACAACAATAATTCAGTGTTTAGTAATTTTTATATAACTTACAGTCATGAAATGCTATGATGCGTGAACCGACTAGTTTATCTGTATACTGCGTCTTTTTTAATTCTAACTATTAAGTATTTTAGTATCTTGTGCTCAGTATGTGAACTATTAAACATTTCTCCCACCTTGTTAGATTGTTATTTTGATTTGAACTTACCATTGTACTTCATTTTCCTTTCAATCAAAAACGTTTAATAGCTGGGAAAATATAGTTAAACCAAGTTGAAGCAGTAGTAGTTAGCATTTACAAAACCGCTATTTTTAATGCAGAACGGCCTTGCTGATATTAATTGGAGATATGGTGTTAAAATTCGAAGCGTAACTACCCATGAAAAACTTGTTCGATTCTAAATGCATCTGTCCACTTTTTCTTGAACGATGCTAGTTCAAATATTTAGCACCAATTTCAATAAAAATAGCAATAAAATGGATATAGTTATCTAAATTTCAGCAAAACTTGTTATCTAGCACAAAGAAATTATTGAAATCATAAATACAAAGATCTTGAAACCGTCACCACTTATTTGGCAATAAGAAACAGATGAATTAGATTAACTTCGCGGAATGACTTAATTTCAGATGATCTGTTTAACTTCTACTTAAACCCGGATGGGATATATTAGTCTTTGATTCAGGAAAGAAATTTTGACATATACCCGGGACATCTGTTTGTTAATTTATTTCGAGATAGTCTTTAAATTAAGTTTCTACTAATTTACATTATTTTTGTACACCCGACCGTCGGCTAGGTTTAACTGTAAATAGTGTGAACAAAAAGTCTACAAACTATTGTTTCTTATCACTTACGATTACCACCACAATTTGTAGTGCACAAGGCCTCTTTGATCCTTCAAAACAATAAGGCGAGAGAAATCTACACGATTTTCGGTTCTAATACTTAGTTTAGTCCTAGCTGAATTATTTCTAAAGAAACTAAAGCCTTATCAGAGTCCTAACATTTATGGTCTACATACGCCTACTACTGTTGATATGTGAAATTAATTAACAGACCTACCTACCTGTCTGATTTGAAATAAAAGTGTCGTAGATATAAATTGCGACAGTAGCATCAAGTTCGTTCGCAACAATGCGCCCGTTAATTTTAGCATTACTCTTAGCCAACTTAAATCTAAAATGAAAACAATTTTGTCACTATAACAAGTACATTTTCATGACACTAAACCGTAGAAAAGTTTCTGTGTGAGATTAAAATGATTGAACTAACTTGTATCGATTTTATCTTCATGAGAATCTATAATTTACAACGGACTTTATTGCAATTGTATTTGGATTGACAACTAGAGTATGTCCTTAAAGTAGCACGTTCCAGAAGAGTATATAGATGATGAAAATCACTGAAAATTCCACCTTTTAACAACTAACCCACATTAGTGACTTTAAGATTATTTGTCTAATTTGTCCGAACTCTCAAAACCTCTTCGTTTTCAATGCTCTTGAATATTAGATACTTTAGCTACTCACGAGATCAGGTCTAGTATTTGTGTACAGAAGAAATATATCTTTACTTTGTCTAAAATCTAAATCTACAATTTTCGTTTGTTATACTTTCGCTTCCGACATTATCTGTTTCCAAATTATTTTTGTCTCGCTTAGTTCTTAATTTTTAATTCTTCCCGATATCATTTTTCCGAACACCATTCTAATTAACTGACTCCAACTACATTTCAACAGATGGTTGGTTTTAAAGATCTTTCCTAACAAAATATGAGGAGGTCGCACAATATTTATTGTTATTATTTGCATGATATAACTTATTATTAAATTATCATGGTTATCAGTTGTTTACATCTCACAAACACATATATTTCTCTAAACAAACAGGCTGATAAGAAATCGTTTGAAATGAAGCTGTCCTTTTTAACCTTCTTGTTTTTAGAGTGTCCGATAAGTCTCTGCAATCTCGCCCTAATAAACACTAAGTTTTAACCACAACATGGAAATTTTTCGTGCAGTGGTCCAAGCACCAATTTAGTTCCCTTATCGTCAAAATTGGTTCCTAGCATTCTATTGTTTTAAAGCAGTGTCTTGTAACTAAAATCGGACTTTATAAACTTAGAAACCAAGCTAAACTAAAAAATAGTAGTCGCTTCATAGATTTCGGATAACCGCATCAATGAAACTCACAATGTCAGCAATGCGGATGCTGGAGCTGTTTTTCGATCTCGAACAGATGAACGCCTCATTGCCATGTAGTAAACTTGCAGTAATTTACTAGCGTTTTCTTCCATTTTCACCGTAGGTGCATTCTTGCATGCATCTAGAAGCTGTTCATCAAAAGGAGAAAACTTAAGTTTACCTGTATTTTACTACTTCAAGTAACTGTTTGATTAATCACAATCTCCATGATTTTGTCAAAGCTTATATTATCAATTTTTCATTAGACTCACTAATTAACAGTAATTAAACGAGTGGTAATGTTTGTTTTCACTGACATTTACATCATACTTTGTGAAGAAACTGAAATGTAGAGGCGTTTGGTATGCTTTCGAAAAGATGTGTTCGTGAAGTTGTTCATAAATTCAGATTTTCAACAAAAAATAACCACGATATCAGTTTTTAACATCGAACGATATCACACAGGACCAGTAAAAACTAGGGAGTGCTGATTAACTACTCAGATCTCCTTTATGGTCCGTTTACAATTTAGGTAACCTGTGGATTGATTTCAGTCGTCTTTGGTTTGTTAGTTTGCTCAATTTTCAAGTACCGAGATGTAATTTTACAAGCATGTTGTTTTGCTAAGACTTTAGTGGTTTCTGACTTTTGTGTTCATAATGTTTCAAGTAAGTGCGTCACCGTTGTACCTAGATTATTCGTGAATTTCTGATTTCATAGTAAACGCCAAAATCTCATGAGCGTTGACTATAGCAAAACAAGTCAAAACACTGGGTAACTTTGTTGTCTTAGTTTAGGACTCCTTGAATAACATCATTTATGATGAAAACGTACTTAAATGGAGCAGTTTCCACTAGCTTACTATTTTAATAATAACGATATCCCCGGTAGGAACTAACATTGAAAAAACTTGAGTGTTGATAACCTGTGAGGTTGAATCATGTTAGTATTGAGGCGAATACCAGCGATATTCTGGATGATAATCGCATTTCAACATCGAATGACTGAAGCTAGTGATGTGAACTAATGAGTCCGAAATTGATGGTCTCAGTGTATAGTTTCCTCGATCTTCTGTGAGGTGCACACTTGGAAGGAGTTCGGAACCGGATTGAAATAGTTATTCACTGGTCTTAAGTTACCGTATGGCAACAATCAACGAACTGTCACTTTCTTGGCTTTTTGTAAAAATGATTCGCAAGAAATGATTTTCATAGTCTTTACTGGATGCCAGATCATATATTTAAAATCTAGTCACTATTGTAATTACCTGTAAATTTGTGTTGATAAAAAAATATTTGTTGAATTTTACGTTATATCATACCAAAAGTTAAGTCACATAAATCTTATTTAACTGCGACGATTTCTTAACGAACGACAGTTATAATGAAACTTACACTTGAGTAAATTTTCATATTTGGGAGTGAAGACTTCCCTGAATATTTCATGGTTTCCAAATTGCATGTTGCTGATAAACAGAAATCTGCTAGTAATCCATCCATGATCTTGATTGGTCCGGACGCATCTTCAGTATTGACAACTATATCAAAAGCGCTAAAACCGATTGCTTCAGATCAATAACCTAAAAGTATTCTCAAGCATTATATATATATATATATATATATATATATATATATATATATTCCGAAGCTCCGTCTCAATGTATTTTCTCACTTAGAAACAGTTGAAACATGACTGTACAGAGTGGTAAGGTGGATAGTAACTCTCATGAAAAGTGTTGGAGTCTACAGTGCAAGTTTCTTATTTATATAAACACGTATATTATATGGTCGTCTGTTAAACACTTGATTTACGAACTTGACTAGATATTGCGTAAAATATAACTAAATCCAAATAAGTTATACGCCATCACATTGTCTTCATTACTAGAATTCTAGACGTACAACAGTATTAATGAATTAGTTCTGCGCAAGCTTTTCACCCGCTAGTGAACAACCCTAGTTAAAATGACAAAAATAAGAAACGTTATCAAAGGTGCTTACTATGCTTATGCATGATACAGCCAGTTTTTACGTTTACTTGAGAAGTATGTAGCGGTAAACAACAGCATAATTAGTTCTTTGAGCCTTAGATATGGATGCTGATCTTATTAGTTTTATTAAACACAACCTAGGTGGAGGCCTTCGGTCAAAAATCTACACCAGGTCACAAATGGGTAAGTCGTGCTTCCCAACCTTTATAGCGGTCAGTCAGCTTAGATCATATACTTCTTTATGCATCGACCATCTTTCACATACGCCTTCCAGCCCCTTCTTTTCTGACTTTCAGTTTGACTGGGTTTTGTTTTCTCGATTGAAAATGTGTTGTTTACAAATAGCGTTATCAAGCACTGAATACCCGTGACATCTTGAAGTATTATAACTTGAATTGTGGCAGATTATGGTTCTGAATGTGGTATGAGTTAAAGAAAACTGAAAGACCAAGAGTTCGATTATGAAAAAAGCTATATAATCATGAATAAGATAATCCAAACCTGCAATATAAGCTCACTAAACAAGTATTAAAAACCACTAAATCCTACAGAAGGTGTACAGTTACGTTGAATTAGGTTGTCACTAAAAGAAGTGGGGAAAAAAGTGTTTTGAAACCAACACACGCGAGGAAAAAGGCAGAAAAAAAAATCAAATCTGGAAACCTTAACAAATTTTATTTTGTACTATCTGGTATCGTATCACTGCCCATAGAACATCTAGGGCTATTGCCGGTTCCAAGCCTGGGTAAAGGAGGAGGGTTGGGCATTATTATTTAATGGTGGAATTGCGAACAGATTGAAGTTCAATATATGAACCATTTGATGTTGCCCGATCAGCGGCCTAAAGATTAAAAGCCCGCCAAAAGACCTGGAGTTCTGGATGGGCGTTACTGCGGAGTCCCATATTAGGACGAAACAGGTGTCCAATACTTCCTGATTCTTGAATATCAGTCTTTGATGTTGACTATGAAATACTGGGGCTGCTAACCTTCGATAAAGTACTGGTATCGAACGTACTGTGAATATGTTGTACGGATAACACAATTGTACAATACTCATTCAGTTTTCTGTACTATATAGGTTCTTATTATCATTCGTATTATGAATCATCTCAACATAACTTTGAAATACTTCTTGAGTTTCCGTTAATGCTTTGAACTTTTTGATGCTACTGGTTTGTAGCAATGACCGGGCCGTCAAGTTAAGTTGTAAAATTATGTAAATTCTCGACATTATTCAACTCCACCTGCAGCTCCTGTAGGACTGTTGCCGGTCCTAAACCCGGGTAAAGGGGGAGAGTTGGGCATGGGGTCAGCAACTGCATCCCTTACAAAACAACCTTACTAAAAATGGCTAACCAGAATAAACAATCCAAACCATTTAAACTCTGCCCTGGCAGTTGAACGAAGAATTATGAAGCCTCATGGTGAAAGCTAATATTCTTCGGAAGTCACGAGGCCCACACCCCTTCTAACAAGCAGAGCAACAATTTTTGTAGGTACATGGAATGTCCGGACTATGTGGAAGACCGGGCGTACCAATCAAGTAGTTGTGGAAATAAGAAGATACAACTTGGCGGTTCTTGGAATTAGCGAAACCCATTGGACCCAAGCTGGACAGGAAAGGTTAGGTGCGGGAGAGATGCTACTGTACTCTGGTCATGAGCACACACTCAGGGCGTTGCTCTGACGCTGTCCAAAGAGGCATGTAATGCGCTTATAAGATGGGAATCTCATGAATTCAGGATCATCAAAGCATCCTTAAAAATAAGGAATGAGGGGATTACAATGAATGTTATCACATGTTATGCACCCACCAACGATAGCGATGACGATGATAAAGATCAGTCCTACGAGAGGCTGCAATCGATCATGAGGAAGTTGTCAGGAAAGAATCTGACTGTCTTGATGGGAGACCTAAACGCCAAATTAGGAATTCACAACGCAGTGTATGGAGATATCATTGGACTACATGTACTGATTGGGAGAAAGGAACGAGAATAATTACAGATTTGCATTCAACGAAATGGTTATGGACGGCACAATATTCCCTCACAAACCTATGCAAAAAGCTGCATGTGTCTCACCGGATCACAATACAGAGAATCAGATCGATCATAGTGGTATCACTAAAAAATTCAGAAGGTCAATGGAAGAAGTGAGAACCAGCAGAGGATCTGACATTGCTTCAGATCACCATCTGATGGTTGCAAGGATGAAACTAAAGCTAAGGAAGCATTGAATAACTGGACAAACAGTATTGCAAAAGTTCAATGCAGCCTTCCATCGAAATGCTGACAAGCTCAACGAATTCAAGATAACTCTCAACAACAGATTTCAAGCCATACAAGATCTACTAAAAGAAGAAACTACTATGGAGGACAAATGGAAGTGGATCAAAGGAGCCCTAACTTCAAGGTGTCACGAGGTGCTGGGTTTCAAGAAGCATCATCATATGGAATGGATCTCTATGGGAATGACCATCAGACAAATAAAAAATGGTGAAGTAGCAGGACGAGATAATGTGTCAGCTGAAGCACTGAAGTCAGACATAGAAGCAAATACAAACATGCTTCACCTTCTATTCAAGAAGATTTCGGAGGAAGAACAATTGACAACGGACTGGAAAGAAGGATACCTCATCAAGATACCAAAGAAAGGAGATCTGAGTCATCGATGAACGAGGATATGGTGCAGATGTAAAGACAAGGATTGGCAAAAGACAGTATTTCTATCAAAATCAGAATCTTCGATGCGTATGTCAAGACAGTTCTACTGTACGAAGCTGAAACTTCGAGAACTGCCACAACCATCATGAAAAGGCGTAATTATTCATAATCAGTTGTCTACTCAATATACTAAATGTCCGTTGACCGGATACCATACTGTGCGAGAGAACAAACCAGCTTTCGGCTGGGAAGGAAATTAGTAAAAGACGTTGAAAGTGAATAGGACATACATTGAGAAAATCTTCAAACTACGTCACAAGACAAACGCTAACTTGGAATCCTGAGGTGAGTCGATAAAGAGAAAGACCAAAGAAAGGACTGCGTCGAGGATTGGAAGCAGACATGAAAAGAATTTAAAGCAACTGGAAAGGATTGCCAGGGACAGAGTTAGATGGAGAATGCTGGTGAGCGGCCTATGCTCCTCGATGAGGGGTAACAGGCACAAGTAAGGAACTGGTATTGTAATAATCTTATCCAACCATTTACAGTTTTTTACATGACATGTTTTACTCTGTAGTAATTCTTTGTTCGATCAATTTGTAAACAGTATCCTCCAAGTGCTGGTCTTGACGGCAGCAAAGTTCCATAAGACCATTACTCGGTTGCCAACACACCCTAATAAAGCTTCTATGGTTCGATTACAGAGCTTGCAGAAACAGTACACGTTAGGTCGACCCATCCTTAAGCAAAAACCTCGGTTCTCCTCAGAAAAATTAAAGTCCTCCTGAAAACTGAGGGATTCAGTCGGACAGATGAGTTCAAGTATGAATATTTTTAAGAACTTGAGAAGTACTGTATATCCACCAGTAAACCTCCTAGGTTCTGTGCTCTACTTTTGTAATCCTAGTCAGATATTTACGCTCCAGATAAATTTTGTCTGTGCCAGTTGTTTGAAAAAAAAGTTTTTTTAAGTCTTTTAACTATATGTTCATAAAATATCATGGCGACAATTGTTATTAAATTTAAATACCAGCTTAATCCACACAAATACGAAGTGGCAGGCATATAAATTTTATATAGAATTTAAACAAATCGAAAATTCGTTGCTGAAGCGAAAAAGTTTATTCTAGCTCTGTTTTACTATTCAGTTATTTAGAGGAAGAAGGGACATAGTTTTTCATTAAATGTAGCTTTATCATCATCTTATTCTCCATTATCACTTTTATTCGGGTTACATATCTGTGGTGTTTGTATGAACTAATGATTCTTTGATGACGGCCTGATATTGAATTGCATATACAACGCGTTCGTTTGTGCTTACCTAGTTCTGGGTCTAAATTATGCTATTTCGTGGACTCCTAGTTCGTACAATAATTCAATTACTTCTAATTATCACAATATACTGTGACGTTTATTCTCAATCAGATGGATTATTGCTTGACCTTAAATGTAGTGACTTTTAATTTCTTGAACAGAAACTTGTAATGGAATGTAGTAAATTCTTCTTTTGATAACTTATTATTTAAAATAAACGAGAACAGTTCTTTTATCTAAACACTCAATCTACATATGTTTCCATGGTGTTAACATCTACACTGTTTAAATTATTTCATGATATAAGTACTTTTTGTAAAGAAGCTACCTAGAATCGAAAAGTGAACACTTTTGGTAATTACTCACTGAATAATTCTTTTCAAATTTCCATTGAGTAGTAAATTGGTACACTCCTCGTTTATTTTTTCCATCCTTTCCATAGAAATATCTGTATCAAATAAATAATTTTGTGAAAACCTAACAATTGGATCTTTGACTGTGTTCCTCTGCAGCGGATTAACTTCAACAGTAGCCCAAATAGTAGTTTCATTAGGGTAAAATAACTCTTCGCTGATCTTATGAACAGACGTTAAATCAACCCCATAGCCTGAAAATGAGTCTTCCACGGTCATATTCTCTAAAGCTAAGTTGAAGATGGTGAAGCAAAATAGAAGACATCTCAAAAGCAGTAACTTAATTCGAAGATATCATGAGTTAGTAAGTGGTAGTATGGTATGTGCTACTGATGTCGATATATATAAGTAGTATGTATCATCAGTTGAAAGTGAAATACCTAGCACTTGAAGGTTAGGAAGATCGAAGAAAAGAGAACGAGGATAATGAAGTCTGAGACGATTGATTGACATTTGCAAAAGGAGCAGTCATGTATGGGATAATTCACTAACATTATGCAAATTAAGCATTCGCTGTATGGTTCTCAGATTTTACTAAGATGTTTTGTAATTTTATGTTCAAACACATTCGATTATTTACACTTGTTTTCTCGTTCACAACATTATTATTTCATGTAATTCACTCGGCTATGTTCATATGATAATAGCGAAAATAATGATAAGGCCTTGGTCTACATATTACCATAAACTGCATATGTAAAGCAAAATATAATCCATCAGTTTTTTTAAGTTTTTAGTGATTATCGTTTTGAGAACTGTAAAGTTCAGTTAATAGCACAAATGTTACACAAATAACTTACACAGAATTTCAAAAGCATAGAGAAATTCCTTAGCTAAATTATATTTGAAGATTTGTAGTAGGAAATTTAAGGTATTTCGTTACTTAAAGTGATCTTGACGATCTTTGGTTTGTATTCATATACTTATGTCTGATAAACTGCTTTGAAAAAACCATAAAACTTTGAAGTAAGCTGGACTATTTTAAAATTTACTTCCGTTTTTAACGGGTACTCCATGATATAAGAATGTACGGGTTTTTAATATCTGGTCGGCTAAGTACCACTTAAAGCATTTTATCGATATGCGCATATGTTCTAATTTTTTTGATATTAAGTCATGTATTTATTTAACTACCAAAAGCAATCTAAACAACTTCATGCTGACGACATCAGTATTAACGGTCTGAAATACAAGAAGTTATCATTATTACAAACTTGATTTTTAAGAAAATATTACGTTATTCTCAACTTACCGTAAACGAGACTAGTTAGCTCCTTTTTCTTATAAAGTTCCAAATTTGGAAAATAAGCTATTCCTCCAGAAGCTAGTTCTATAGTTCCACCTAGTCGGTAGATCACAAAAAAACTAAAAGTATGTAAGTTAAGAGTTTCATGAAATTTGTGTTGCTTAATAAAGCATTTTTTCACTGAGTCTAGAATTTGGAGGGCCGTTACATAAAAAACCAGTCAAACTCTGTAAAATTTACTAAACCAAGAATGATGACTTGGCGGTTATGATTTAACTCTAAATTGGCATATCTCTCAAAATCATCTATTTTGTTTGTTATTTATTAAAGTGGTAGTCTGTAAATGAAAACATTTGGTAGATTAGTTGAAAATAACTGCATATTTTCATCGCCCTGATTGCTCATAACACAAAATCTCCAGTTTTCGCAAAACGTTTATCAAGAAAACTTGTGGTATTAAAATCACCAAACTCTGAATGCCTGTGGGGAAGTATACTAAGACAGTTACCAGTCTTCTTTGCTGAAAAATAAATTTGACAAGTGTTTGGTTACTGATCTTTTACCACTTGGTTTGCGTAAAAGGATAAGTACTAGGTGGTACCAATTAGGGGCAGTATCTTAAGGTTCAACTGAAAATTGAATAATAATAATTCAGTATATCTAAATTCAAACATAAAACCTACACATAACTGTATGTTCTTCACTTGTACACAATTTATCCAGCTCTATAGACTTCGTTTGTAAGGTATTCTGTTTCTTTATAGTTTTCCAGAGACATTTCAAATTTGGTTTCTTTGATCCACTTAAGTCCACTTCCAATGATGTTGGAAGTATACTAATCCCAGGCTTGTACTCACAAAATGGTTTTGTAAATTCTCCTGCTGCCCTCAGTAGGTTATTTGACAAGCTATCGCCAAGGGATCCCACTAAAAGTAGAGCTGGAGGTCTACCTGAGATTTGCGAAAATAAACGTTTTTCATCCTGATTTAACGAAAATTTAGGTAGATAAAACGATTAAAGTGATAGTTAGTGCCGAAAACCAATAGTAAAGTATTCATAACAGAAGTGGTGATAATAATAATGATTTCTAAAGGGGATATGAGAAAACTGAAATAGTTGAATATCTAGGTTGATGATGAAGGAAACATTTTACCGAATAATTTTAAATCATAAACTGCTTATAATAGCCATAAATTAGGAATGAAAGGTTGACTAAAATAAACATTACAAGAGTTATTCGGATTAAATAAAGATAATATCAAACAATCAAAGCAAATCTCTAGATATTATTCAAAGAAGAAGAGAAAGAGAGAGGTAGTATTAATTTGATAATCACGATAGTGCCGGGTGAATTAAATGTTATTTTTGTGCACACAGTTTGGTCTTGAGTCTATGAATAACGGTTAGTTCCATCCAACGTAGAAGTCTCTCATCATTCTATTTATCGAGATAACGGAGAAGATTTGTATCTCAGGTGGATGATCTCAGTGGGGTTTCGTTCTCTGAGATGGATGGTTTGGTCGTAGAGCATCATCAGCACAAAATTCAGGGAGCAGTGAAGCATTTGAATTTCTCCACATATGACTCATATCAACAATCAGAAATGTTATTATAGTTAATTTCATTGAGTAGTCGTTCTTGTTTTTGTGTAGCTGTTAAGTTGGGAGCCGGAAAGATCACCACACTTCGGGTCGATTGTCGATGCCGACTCTGCACACTAAGACTAGCCTTTTAAACAAAAATTTGACAAATGTAGACTTTTGGAGGACAGTGGTTTATTTCAGTATCTATTTTATTGATTCATAGCCCCCATTTACATTATGGTACTTCCATTCTCAATTAGTATCCTCTTAATTATTTCTACTTCATTATAGACCTATTGCTGGAAAAAACACTCTCGTCGACTGAATTTTCAGGAATCGATCTCCTACCAGGAGTTCCACTTATCGACTTAGAATACGCAGATGACATAGTCCTGTTCGGTGAAGACTCTGACAAAATGCAGAGTCTTCTGTTAGCACTGAGTAACAATGCCAGGATATTTGAAATGCGTTTCTCCCCCTTTAAATGTAAGTTGTTACTCCAGGACTGGCCTGCGTCAACACTGAACTAAGGATAGGGAGTGAAGTCGAACACGTTGACAACTTTATTTATCTTGGAAGTTTGATCAGCCCCTGTATTATATCCTTAAATGAAATCTTTCTTTTAAATATTACCATTATTAAATTAACTACTTCAATAAATTTGGTGTTCATCTTGTTGTGCTAATGAGGTGTGGCGACTTAGACGGATGCATATATGTGCCTGGTCCTACGTTGTAGCTGACCGAGTGTTCAGGACATAGTCTCGTTATCCTCAGGAACTCCGTCACGAGAATTCTCGTATATGTGACTGGACAGAAGATGTTTTAGAGTAAGTAGAACTTGAAACCAAACTATTGTCGTTCCTTATTGCCTTCAAGTTCAAGACACTCATTTTATTTTGTATTTCACGCTCACACGTCGACTTTGAACTTTAGTGAATCAGATCGAAACACCTAAGTAACTAATCATCGTGGCTTCGGATATCACATGTGACCCAAGTGCCAACAACATATCTCAAAACGATAGCATTAGTTTTTATCATATTCCTTAGTTTGCTGCTTTCTAGTTGTGCAAGAGAAGTACCATCCTCACATACTAACCATGGCAACATCTATTTGTCAAAAATACCTTTTGTAAAATTGGAACTGCACACTTTTTATGTATAATAGTAATGATTCTTTTATTCTATTCGGACAATCAATCTTGTAGGCGTAACTGAATATGATATGATACCATCTCTTTTAATGGGACATTACTAACTAAATTCTCCACGTACAAAGAAATCTTTTAATTTCTGATTAGATTGATGGAGTCAAACTTGTGAACAAAGACAAAACTATCTTTGAGACTGTGTACAGATTGTCCTTACCTTATGGGCTCCACCAACTGCGCAATTCACCCGACGAGCTTGTGATATAATAACATACTTATAGCTAGGATGTGTCGTAGAGAATTATCAATTTTATAAACCTTTGATAGACCACACAACCTTGATAATTAGGTAATTTACGATTTCGTGCATTGTTCTTTATAAAATATTTAAATTTATTAAAATGTTCATTTGACATAAATAACCGACAATGTTTCAGTAGGAGTTTTGTATTGTAGTGCGAAGTGTTTTACTTTAGAACATAGCTGACTCATTCTAATTTTCTAACATTCAGTTTAGAACGCATCGTTTAAACTAAAAATGGATGGTATAGGTTTGTTTTCATGAAGACGGTGTGTTTATCAAAAATGAGTTACATGATGGATAAACAAATAATTGTAGCCTGTAAAGTGATAGAAAACTTTTGTGAGTGAAAACGACTCCATATACTAACTGTTGCTGAATCGTAGATTGTTCCTACACTTACACGAAGGCATTATCCAGTGACAGTACGAATTATGTAGCACTAACAGTATCTGAATACGCGTACCACGCACACTACTTTTCCTATGTTACAACTGATAGTACGAGTGTCAGATTTGTTCTGCTGAAATTGATGAAAAATGGTTATCTCAACTAAATACATTCGTAGGAGACTGATACAAATCTTAGTTTATTGCTGATAACCCTAAAAGGTCAAGATTTGAAAATAAACTTTGGTGGAATTTTCACCAGTGATCTTTGAACTACGTCATTTTGAATGATAAATTAAAGTTATAGAATTGTATTTAATAGTGTTCTATCACAAAGTAAATGATTTTTTAATACTGTTTTGTACATAGCATTGAGTTTATGAATAAAACAAACTTTAAATTAATCATTTTAAGTTACTAAAAACAAACCCAAATTAATGAATTGTTCAACTCACAGGCTCTGTGAATTCATTTTGAACGAGAAGTAAGAGTAGAAGCCACTTTAACAGGAAAAAAGTGCCAGCTTTCGTGACATTATCTGTATAATAATGAATATCAAATTAACTATAAAGATATCTCACCTAAAAACATGAATGCGAACGTGAATGCAATGCCAAATTCATATGCACGAACATCTGGAATAACAGAGTTAATATTAAGAACAGTTATTTGGGTTATGAGAATCAGCCATACAATTTTAATTCACTACCAAAGTATATACTCCATTTAAACCACTACATTGCATTATCATTGCATAAATAAAATAGTACACTATGAATACGGAAGCTAAGTTTGGTTTAGTATATATCCCTAAACACTTGTTGTGTCTGAAGTTTTCATTTTTTATTCATCCAGGATGTTGCTGGTTATGAAGATATTTTATTGGACTTCACACTATTTTGCAAAACAATGATGACTAGCCAAGGAATCCTTCATGCTGAAGGGATATTTTAGAAAGCTTTACTCCTTTGATAACTGGTTGATCATGGCTAAGGAGAACCGTAACCCACATGGTACGACCACCAGTCCATGGTTGTTTCATGTCATAAACGTGTAGAGTAAAAAGTGGTTGTATTAGACCAACAAGAATCGACACATTACGTCACCCTGTTTACAGTGCGACAGATATGTTAGCTTAAAATGACCTCGAATATATATCAGTAGCAAATATATATGTAATATATTGTAGTTTCTTTTTCAGTATACGTAAACATTATGGAAAACGTTGGGAAAGCAAATTATTTTGGTCTGTATTTGAATGTTCCTGTTGTCTACATTATTATTATTATTATTATTATTATTATTATTATTATTATTAAAACACTCGGTTTTCTATCTTATGATTCTAATAATAACAAGGATTTTGTATAGAAGACCTATTGATTCGTCTTTCTATATTTCTGAATAAATTGTATGCGGTGTATATGATACAAGCTACGACCTGACTAGCGGATAAATGACCACGTTTCGATGATAGATTATTTCATTGCATGATGAGAATCACACTATGAACAGAAAGGTGTGCATTCTTTGGAGCTGGAAGTTATTTTTCGATTTCTGTCCTCTGAATAACAATTTTTATAGGTAGAAAACGTAAGAAAGTGTATCGCTAAAAGTTGGATAACTTATATACTTAACTCTTGTTCGCTTCTCGACGACCATTCTTCTTCCTGACAATATTTATATTAATTTATAGTCTGTTTAGTAAAGTTTGTTTTTTCGTCACACTACGTTAACTGATAGTTCAACTTAACAACACCGTCTCTACAAACGGTAACGTGATTAATCCATTTTCAAAAAAGCTTTAATTTTTATTGCGTCAATAAATGGCTTTATTCTTGCATTTAACATTTCTATGTTAATTTTCCAACGTAAATGCTTGTCACTAATACCTGGTTCTTTGTCATTCAGCAAAAAAAACCGTAAGATTACAAAAGAAGTGATTAGGAATAAGTAACCAATTAACTTCTTATATATTCTTACAGTTAGGTAAACTTTCTACAATTGTAGTGAGGACGCATTTCCAAGGGTCCATATAACTAATAAATGAATCTTCAATCCCATAAACCTGAAAACAAATCAGAAACTTAAATTTGATATAGTCAACCATACCTTGAACTGCCATTGGTATGAACGACCAGCTTTTTTTAAATAAGGAACACCAGAAATGAAGCATCTGCTTCCGAATTTAAGTTTGGAAATTAGTTTATCTGCAATAAAGCATGGCATTTATTTGATTTTACATTGTTACTTAATTAGAAAATAGCTTAAACCTAGTCTATTAATCATAGAAATACCAAGCCTAATTTTTTTTTTAAATTTTTCTTTAATTTGTATTTAAACGTTATGCATCTTACACCTGTTTTTGTAAGAACTGTCAAGAACCTTTACTGAACTAATTTAGAATTAGAATACTTTTTCAGCATCAGTACATGTATCAGCGTCGAAACGAGAAGCGTGTGCTCAACGAACAGTTCTTTCTCCTGTTTATAACATTTTTATTACTTGATGAAATCAACTCTTTTGAAGCCTAGAAGTATGTGAATTATATTTTATTTAGAAATTGTAAACAACAAATTTAATAAGTTTAAAAATTTAGAAACTGTATACAGCTAACATTTACATGAAGTATAATAGAGCGAAGAAATATTTATTTTCAACCAGCTTTACTCATTGGTCTATATTAAGTGGTTCAATCAATATTAATCCATTAATTTATCATGTAAGTTATCTATAGCTAACTTTCTTGATAATTACCCAACTTTTTCACTATTTCGACGAGGTCCTTATGGATTTATGTATCTACTTTGACATTCAACTCAAAAAGAATTATTATATCACAAGTCTATTAATTTATCTCAATAAAAATTCTATGACTAAAAGCATTCCGAAAAACATTTGGACGCTATAAAAAATGTGTCATTTGTTGGTATATGAGTGGTAATGAAAAAGGCAAATCAAATTTGATTGTAAAACGCAGCATTATAATAATCACCCGAGAGTGGCAAATAAACCACAAAATTTATACATAAATTCAGTTGCAAATCCGCTTTTGATAAGACAGAAGTGTTGCTGAACGTCTTTTTATCTCTGAGATATGTATTATATTCGTACATATTCTGCAGCTGTAAATGTTAATGACGCGTAAAAGCTGTAGAGAATACATATCATTTTCATGGAAATATTCATAACAATATATGTCAACATTTTTATTAAGAACTTTAATTTAAACTGATGTAATTGTTAAAGATTTCTCCTAAACTTTGTTGAATTAGCACTTGTATGAACAGGTCTATGGTTGAAAACGTGTTTATTAAGTTTGTGATTGTGCTGAGATTATGTAAATAACCCTATTTTTAGACACATTTAAACTGGGCAAAAACGACCTTTTTTACAGTGCATATGTGATTGATGAAGCCATAGATTTTTTCTCCTAAGATTGCATCTACATGTTGGTACTCTGAAGCACTAGACTGTCTAGTTACTTATGGCTTATTCACAATAAACTTTCAGTGATTAAACTTGTTTTACTTGTTTGGGAAAATAAAATTGTCTAACATAATGCACCATATTATTCATTAGGATTACATTAAGATTGAAAAAGACTTACCATAAACAGTGCATTTGATGCTTCTATTCAATGTGATAATTTCTGATCCGTCTTCCCGTTTCGGTAGTAAGAGAAATTCCACTCTTTCTAAGCATCAGAAATGGAATATTCAACAATAATTTTAGTTTTGTATTTCGTATAAATGCGAAATTTTACTGTCTCCGTAGTATTATGCTGTTTAAATAATGTTAGTTTTAGCTAAGAATCCTTCCCAGTCTAACAACCACATGTCAATATGTCTGCACCTTTCTTTTCATCAGGATGTAATAATTTTTATTACTAGCATCATTCAATACTACGCCTAGAACATCAATATAACTACTAGCTAACTGTTTAAGCCTTATTGGACAAAATTCAATGGTCAGACAGTATGTTTGGGACTCAGAAATATTTACAGCTGGAAGTGGTTTAACTTTTTCATATTACTTACTGCTTTATAATTATAAAAAAATATTTTTCTGTAAGAAATGATTCGAAAAGTAATTCATATGGACCAGTACATGTCACATTTTAAAACGAATCACTACGCTGGTTTGTTGAACTCTGTTGATGAGGAATAATGGTAAATACCAGCTTGTATAGAAACAGTTTGTGAAAATGTGTTTGCATATACTAATTGTAGCTTCCGAAATATTGATTTGACAACTAACTTTTCGAGTGTTAAAACAAGTAGGACTTTATTACTCTCCTTCTAGCATATCGGCCCCAATTTAGGAAACTTTTTTTTAGCTTGATGATCATTTATCTTATGTTCTTACCGAATTATAAGAAAACTCCAAAGCTGTTTGTTAAAAGCTGAACGGTTTTCTTTATAAATGGCTTTATCAAGATTCTTAAAGTTCTGATCTCTTCTGCATTTCTCAAGTAGACGGATCATTTTATTAGTTCCTTAGTTATCAATAAGTAAATTTGGTTCTTGAAATAGTTCCTTTAGTTCAATACATCATTTTTGAGACTCTGAGTGACATGGCTCAGAATCGACCACAATGGCGTGAGTGTATACACTCTCTGTCTTTACTTAAACCGTTAGATTAAAATTATTTTATACCTTTCTTTCTACAAACTAATTCTTTCTTTCTGTATTATATCCCTATACGCAAACTTTCTTTTAAATATTACTATCATTGAAGTAACTACTTCTATGAATTTGGTGTTCATTTTGTTGTATTAATGAGGTATGGCGACTTAGACGGATGCATATATGTGCCTGGTCCTACGCTAAAGCTGACTGACTGACCAATACATCATTCGTGTGTTAAAACAATGAAAAATGTGCCAGGTGGTAAGCTGAACCGATATCTCTAACTAAGACTTGTAATAAGGGTGGTTTTAAACTAATTCAATGCTTGAGTGCAGTTTTTTAAATATTGAGCACCGTTTATTTTACTATATAATTAAAATAATAAAAAGCCTAGCGTTTTAAGATTTCAAAGAATGAATTACTCAATATCACGAAATTGTAGTATCACTAGTTTGTATGGACGTTTTACATCTAATAAACCGACATCCAAATGAGTAAATAAGTATCATTTTTCATATTGGATTTAAGTACGCTTTTCTAATCAAGTGAGTTATCAGATATGAACTATTTTCCATATTCTCTTTTATAGGACTTATTTGTCAGCCAACAATCATGTTTTGCAAATGTGGTTGGTTTCGAACAGATACAAGTTTTAAAGTACTGTAAGCACACCTTGTGCAATTAAGCATTTTCGGCTTCACAGGATGACAGTATCGACTAAATAAAATGGAAAGTAAATTTAGTTGGTTATAAAGGAATGTGAAGACGAGAAATCAAATTCCTGTTAATGGGAATATCTAAAATGAAAATTTAGCTCTCAAATAAAAATAAATAAATTGAAGAACAAACTGTCCTGTTTCGTATGACAATCAAAGTTCTGATTTAAAAAGTTTAGAAACTTATTAACGCACTCGAGAACAGCCTTTTCTCTATTTCTTCTCTCAGTTCTGTATAACAAAATTTGCATTGGAATCTCAATAATAAGTTACAGTTTTCAAACACCTTACCTTTCCAACCTTTTATAAATGTCCGTTATATGCTGGATGAAGTAAGTATCGTTTCCCGGACAAAGATGTTCTGGACATGAATACATAACTGCTTTGGTGAACAAATGAACATGTGTTATTCCTATAACAACACCTTCTATGACAGTCAAACAATCTTTAGTAAATTTGTAGCTATTGTTATAGTGAATTCTTCAAAAAGCTTAATAAGATGTAGTTACTCACTCTGGGATGCATAAAATGTCTGTGAAAATTACTTCTACAATAATAGAGTTTATGTCATCGTCGTACGATAGTATATCAACTTCAACCGCAAGACAAAATATTATCTACAATATATAAACAAACATGAGTGCAATCAGAACAAGGTTTTCTTTGTTCAAAGGATGCTGACTTACAGGCAAGCAGATATGACATAGCTAATTAACTTATCATTATAAAACCTACGACTGACGTCAGATGAACATTTAATAAACATCATTTTTGAAAGATAAGGCTATTTAAGCTTCAAAATGACCATTTAACACAGAGTTTACAGTTATTTACCAACATTTATTTTAACTCCGCATATTATTCCTATTGCTGAAAGATATGTCACTGAAGATACGACTAGAGGATAATCAGCCTAATAAGAAAATCACTCTAGTGCCATTCAACTTCTGATCAGTGATTTGTATTACAATATCGACTTCTCAGACCTTGGTTATTATTGGAAACTTTTCAATAATGTCTGTCTAACCCAGAAATACACACAATTGCTATGAAACGAATTAGTGTCGATCGAGATAAATCTACCGACATCCTCTTTTGAGACACACTGTGGCAGTTATAGACACTTTTTGGTTAGTTTCAGAATAAGCGACTTTATTGGCTTGTTTATTAGGTGGAATAGCTGTGAAAAAGCAAAGGATTTGCTTTTTCAAAGCGAAACTTTGGTATTTGTGTGATAGACTCTACTCACAAGGATGTTTGTAATTAGTGTATAGTGGAGTTTGTTGTCAAAGTTGCAACAGTTGTCGAACGGATTGAGGAGTTTCAATGCGTCAAAAGCAAGGCGTTAGCATAACACTTGGAGGTCAGTTGAGAAGAAAATTCAGATTATAGGACACACCGGAAGATGCAAGCAGATAATTGAAGGCTACGTATATGCATTGTGTAAATACTTTGTAACTTCTCACGACCAATATGCATTACATCGGCCTGTTGCCGTGCTTTGCACTTGCGCTTTACGTGCATTGAGTTGAGAACAACTTCAAAGAGAAATACCGCAACACTTCACAATTTTACGTAAAGGCATCCCTCTGGAAAGTTCGAATGAGTTAAATTCTTTCAACGTTTTTGTTTATTGTTAAAAACGTAGTTACAGTTTAGATGAAGCTTTAAAATTATTAAATAACCCATAACAATTTAGCTAAAAAATATTGAAACTTAAACTAAAGAACCATTCATAACGTACCTATATGACAAAATACTTTGTATCAAAAAAGCGTTTATTGCAGCTGTGGGTCACGAGCTAAAACGTTTCCCTGGAGTATGTTAACTTAGTCAACCATCTTATTCGCTAGTGGTTTTAAAAACAGCATTTTGAAATATAAATAAACGCGGCTGATGTAGACGAGTTTACTGTCAGATTACCGAAGGCTAATATGATGTGGAGCTCTTTGCACTGTTTTGCTATACGGCTTCGGAACGTGGTCTTCAAGAGAAAAAGACATTACTAAGTTACTAATGTTCGACAGTAGATTTCCTTGAATATTTGATTACGTGTCTGTGAACTACGTATTAAAGATCTGTGGGATTATAATAACCACCTGTCTGATATGCCACGTAATGTTTATCAGAGTCATTTCCAGAGTTCCAGATGGATTTACTCCCCGTCCTCCTCGAGAGTTTGAAAATTATTTTACCACTTATTTTCCCTCAAGTCATCCTTATTCTTTAAATCATAATCGTCATTTATAATCTCTTTTACCAGGGCTGGTACTACTCCCACCTCCACCATACCTTGATCACAGCGACAGATCAGTCATTTTCCATAGAGTCAAGGAGAGTGAGAGCTCAGAACCGAAAGCTCGTTTTCAGAGCGACATTGTGTTGATAAAACAACTACTCAACCAAGTTATGCCCCAAAACATCTCCGGAGTCACCTTGCTAAAGGTGTATAGACTAGGAAACCTGGCGCATCTGAAGCCAAATCAGTCTAGACTGCTCAAAGACGTTTTCAAATCTCCAAACGAACGTGACTTAATCTTAGAAAATGGACACAAATTAAAGGGTTCAGGAGTTTTTCTCTGTAAGGACTTACCGTTGGCGGACCGTGTAAAAAGACGGGAAGCCGAAAAAGAACTACAGCTCAGATTAGACGCTGGCGAAAAAGACCTGAAAATTGTAAATTTTCGGGTTGTGAGGCTTTGACAGAGGATGATGCCGAAGCCACTCTGAGTGAAGCACGAGGCCACTTAAATAGACTTCGGATCTGTTATACCAATGCCCGGAACTTACTCAATAAGCTACCGGAACTAGGTGTACAGATTGACTCAACTAGGCCAGACATAATCGCAGTCACAGAAACATGGCTGACGCCGTCTATAGATAGTAGGGAACTTGATTTCGAGGGTTTTACATTAGTAAGGGCCGATAGAATACAAACGCGTAAAGGAGGGGGAGTAGCTCTATTCATTAGGAATGCTATTCCATTCACCATTATCGACAGTGTATCCCATGAGAGTGGGACGTATGAATTAGTTAGCTGCCGCCTGAAATGCAGGGGACAAGATTTGCTGCTTACTTTGATCTATCGCAGTCCAAGCTGTGAGGTAAACGAGGTCCTGCTAAGCAGTCTCAACACTTTATCACGAAGTGATCGATGTCTAATTCTAGGGGACTTTAATGCACCCATGGTGGACCGGGGAAATCTGCGGACTGAATCATCAGCAAATTCCTTCGAACAGAAACTAGTTGATGCGGTAATCACATGTGCCCTAGTGCAACACGTGAAGGAAGCAACTAGGTACGACCCGGGTTCTGCATCATCCTTACTAGATCTTATATTGACTCATTATGAGGATGACGTTGCAAACCTGGATTACATGCCATCCCTAGGTAAAAGTGATCATGCAGTTTTAACCTTTGACTTCCATATAACTGTCGATCACGAGCACGCCTCAGCTCAATCCAGACCTAACGTCTGGAAAGCAAACATACCAAACATCATGAAATCAGCATCATCAGTAGATTGGAAAATAGACCCAGAGTCATCAATCGAAACGGCTTGGGACGTTTTCCGGAATTTATACTTAAAAGTTACCACCCCCCACATCCCCTGGACTACACCTAAGAGACCGAGAAACTCCCCACCGTGATTCAGTAGGGGGGTTAGCATCCTTCTCCGTAAAAGAAGGAAAATGTGGGATAGATTTAGGTTACAGGGGACTGACGAGGCAAAATCTCAGTATCAAAAGGCTCGAAATACCTGTGCCTCGACCCTCCATAAGGCCAGAAAGCTGTACGAAGATAAAATCGTTAAGGAATCCATAGAATGCCCTAAACGCTTGTATTCGTATATAAACCAAAGGGCAAAAAGAAGAAGAAATGTTCATTCACTATGGGGAGACAGTACCGCCTCATCACAAGTGGAGAACGACTTTGGCAAAGCTCAAGTATTCTCTAAATACTTTAGCAATGTATGCACCATAGAAACACCCTTCTCAACAGTCCATGAAAATCCCCCCACACAAACACTGGACAGCGTGACTATTAAAGAACTCGATGTCTTTGATCTGCTAGTTAAGCTTGGCATAGGTAAATCCACTGGACCCGATGAACTGCATCCTAGGTTTCTGAATGAATTAGCTAACTTTGTTGCGAACCCTTTAAGTGTATGTTTTATTCTAAACGTAACCCAGGGTCGTCTACCAAAAGACTGGAAGAACGCCATAGTAAGTCCAGTCTTTAAAACAGGTAAAAAACATAAGCCTGAGAATTACCGACCAATTAGCCTGACTAGTGTGGTTGTTAAAATCTTAGAAACAATTATTCGGAAGAAGCTGTTAAAGTATCTCGATGAAAACCGGATCCTCTCCGAAAAGCAGCATGGTTTTAGAACAGGTTACTCTTGTCTCACAAACTTATTAGTCGCTCGTGAAAGCTGGTGCGCTCTTAAGGACCAAAAATTACCTATAGACGTAGCTTACATCGATTTCAGCAAAGCTTTCGACAAAGTTCCGCATAACCGGCTGTTATACAAGCTAAGGAATGTCGGGTTTGGAGGCAATCTATTGATGTGGATAAAAGACTTCCTAGTTGGGCGTCAACAAAGAGTAAGGGTGAACTCCAAGTTGTCTAGCTGGGAAACTGTGCTTAGTGGAGTCCCCCAAAGTACAGTTTTGGGGCGTGTTATTCCTCCTGTATGTAAATGACCTCCCTCGTCTACTATCGTCATCGGTCTTACTCTATGCTGACGATGTCAAGATATGGAGAGCGATAAAAAGCAAGGGCGATAGCTTAGAACTTCAAAATGACCTGGAGAGATTATCTGAATGGTCCCAAACCTGGCAATTGCCGATAAACACTTCCAAGTGTATTGTGATGCATATTGGCCACCAGGGTACAGATACATACACGATGAATAACACTGAGTTACCTATTGTCCAGGCACACAATGACTTAGGTGTCATCGTTAGTCAAGACTTAAAGACTACTGCACGCTGCCGTGGAATAGACGCCGAGGGTTATAGAACTTTATGATCCATACGCAAGGATTTTACGCATCTCGACGCTAAAACGTTTCTGACTTTGTATACAGTGTTCGTACTTCCTAAACTTGAGTACTGCATACAAGCAACTGGCCCCTGCCTAAAAATAGACAGTAAACTCTTGGAAAGGGTTCAGAGAACAAAAACTAGGCTGATTCGCGGAATAGCGAAGCTCCCGTATGGTACTAGACTGACCAAGCTAAATCTATTCCCGCTGTCATATAGAAGAATCAGAGGCGACTTGATTACAGATTTCAAATTGCTTAATGACAAATTTGCACCTGATATGCCCTCATTTTTCTTGTCTTCCAAAAGAGAAAATCTACGAGGACACTCCAAAGAAGTTCACAAGCCCAGAACGAATTACTTGTCAGCTGACTACCGACTTTCCCATCGAATCATCAACGAGTGGGATTCATTACCTCAGCACGTGGTTGAGGCTCCATCCGTCGACTCCTTCAAAGGAAAGTTGGATCAGCTGCGAGACCATCATTGCCAGGACTAACACAGGCCATCAAGCCTCCTGTCCTTTCCAAACTGAAACTGAACTGAAACTGTTAAAAACCAGCTTGATCATTTCATCTCGCTTAAGTAGTGTGATGTGAGATCTTGTGCCTATCCATTAATGTGCTAACTTCTGCCTTGTACATAGCTATCTAACTGGGTCGATATCATAATAATCTTTAAATTTCTAAGTCAGTAGAAAGTACCTCAACGCAAATTTGAAAATGCAAGTTTCATTTCTAGGAATCAATCTTTTACCAAATTTAATTCTAGAAATGAATTGTCATGGTTTGTCAAGAAAAAAACCCAGATTAATGGTTGTCATACACGACCAAAGATCCTTGAGCCTAATACTTGATGTATAGGGACTATGTGATTCTAATTTATACTGATTCTTCAGAAACAATACTAGCATAACAAAGAGAAGATCTTTTACACTTGATGAAATTCAGTCAGAAACATCCGAGCGTTTTGGCAAAAGCCGACGTGGTATTACAAAAAAATTAAAATACCCGAGAGAAAACGGTCTTCAAAATAATATAATAACAAAGTCTTTGTTAACAAATTTATAGAAAAAGAAATTCCCCTATCAGAACGACTCGACTAAATATTAGACATGAATTCATGGTATGTTCAACTGTCTATTATTTTACTTTAATTAAGCGGCTTGATTTGTCATCATCTTGTAGAAATTTAGACAATCAAGGATATCCGCAATAAACAACAGGCTTGTTCTTTATTTCATAGTATGAGATTCATTGATAAAATTTTGCTATCTCTAGCTACGCCAAGACCATGGTTTGAGCTACTCTGCATGATTCAAAGTCGAACAAGCAGGGTTGCTGCTTCAGTGTTTATGTCGAATATCAGTTAATTTAAACGCAACGAATAATACCAATCCGCAATATTGTCTTTACAGAGAGTCCGAGTACCCATCGAACATTTAGTAGTAGACTTACTTCTTGAAGGATCTTTTCTAGCTTTGAAAACCGGCACACGGTGGACATAAAACTCGGTCCTAATATTGGAAATAAACATTCGAAGTTTGACGGCACATTACCTAATCCTTCTAACAAATCATGCAGAGCAAGGTAAACAGGGATGGTACAAACTAGTCGTTTCTTAGTTGCCGAAGTAATTGAGTGCAAATTTCAATTACTTTCTCACGGAATGCTTTTAGTAGGTGATTCTCAAACCCCTTCATAACAGAATGTCTCTCCAAATATTTAATTAGACTGCAGTACTGCGGAAACAAGTCCATGTTTCAAATTAAAGTTCTTTCAATGGTTCAAGTGTTTGAGAACAGAATAGAAGCTTACACTCAACGAGCTACAGTGTCTAGTGGCAGTGGATCACCAATATCTCCAGGCAGGAAACTAGGCGTATTATTGATAATAGAGGAAAAAGAAATTGGTAAATCATAATAAGATATTATCCTTAGTCCTTAAGAATAGGTCAAGTTGCCTAAAAAAGGACCCCTGAGAAGTCACTTGGACTAGCTCGTCCGGCAACAAATTCCAGCATTCTACAACCCTTAAGGAGCAGACTTTGTGTCTACAATCCGTTCTGCTGTGTTGTGTCTCTAATTTCTGAGTGTTGCCCTTTAGGTTTATGTTGGAGCTAAACTTAAAAAAGTGTTTAAGGGGATGTCCGGAAGTGTTAAGGATACCGTAAGCGATTAGAAGGTCACCTCCAAGACGCCCTTACATTAACTGGTAAAGGTTCAGTGATTAAAGGCACTCTTCATAATGCTTGAGTTTAAGTCCCTGTAC